CTATAATAGGCGCAAAGAACTTAGAAAATACGTACAACGTAATCAGAAACAGTCCACAAAAGACAATAAAAATGATTGTGGAATATAAATAAATCGAGAAAAGGAAAATTTTGCTCGATAAGATTTTAATTGCTCGTTTTTAAAACAAAAAGAACCAACATCCATAAGTGATTTTTTTCTTCTTCAGGCAGCTCCGAACCTGTTTGGTGCGCGTCGTATTAATAACGAAATCGAGCCGGAGTGTCGAAAACCGTACAAGGAGGCGCGCCTGACGCTTTATTTGCTGCATCCTCGCGCGTAAACTGCGAATCGCGAGGCAATTAGTTTTTGCTTTCTTATTCCATTTAACCCCACGACCTCCTCCTTCTCCTCCTCGGTCGCGCGGCATAGTTGTGGGGAAAAGAGTCCCTCGAGAGACGAAAGGTCAGTACGCGGCGGAGCGCTGAACCTGTTCCAGCCGCAACAATACTGACTTGTACGCCGCGCCTCGCTTCCCTCCGCTAATTAAGCCGAAAAAAAAGGCGTAAGAAAAAGCGTCGGCAAAAACAACGCTTGTCTGTTGGCTTCGGGTGAAAGTAGCTGGAACTACAATTAACCAATAAGTCTATAGGAGACCAGGGACAAACGTAACAATTTTTCTTTTTGAGTTTGTAATTTTCGAATTCTGTAAAATTTTTCCCAAATTCTTATACGATGAGAAACTTTAATTATAGGACAATCTAAGCAAACCTCAAAACTTAGAATATATTGTACCAGTTTTTTCAAATGAGACTTTCTATAAACTCACTTATTTGATACTTTTGTCCCTACTACTAGGGACGATTGTAACCAGGGACTTAAACCGGTATGATTTTGATACCGGTCTTATGCCATCAAAGCTATACCGAAACCGATATATTACCAAAAACCGAAATAAATACCGGTATTTTTTCGATTTCTATAAGGACTTATACATATAGGGTTATATGTATATGGCGAAGGTACAACCGAAAATACAAAAAGTCCTTGATTGTAACACCGTATCTAAATTGAAAAAACCAAGTAAAAAGATAGATGCTTTTAAATGATATTTTTATTTAGTCTATAGATAGATATAAACATAAATATGAAGATAAATATAAACATAAACGTAACATAAACTTTTAAAATTTTTTAAAATTCAAAATATGAACGTAGTAATAACATTAATTTTTTCCAGTAATCGGTAATAGATTTTTTGATTGAAACAAAAAGATACATAATTGAAAGAGTTAATACAAACTTACTTTTGACGTATTAGTCCAATAGGGTAGTAGTATTAAGAAAACCGCTTACTGCTGCGTGATGGCGACAAATGTGGAATTTGTATATGTATAAAGATGGGAGGAGAGGGCTATTAGTCGATTGGCATTTGTTTTATAACAGTTGTTACATTCGTCCCATATTACGTTTGTCCCGATTCTTCCCTAAATGAATATTATTTATATAAAAGACAAAAAAAGCACAGTAATTTATACATACAATTAGTTGGCATTCAGGTTGAGTGAATATTCATATTAGATTTTACTTTTAGATTATACATATATGTTATCAAAATTAGGACTCACGGAAAACTTTTTTTTATCGGCGCTTTTATTCAGTGGAAAATGGAATTGAAAAATGTATTCTAGTTTATTAAGGTCTTTAACTTGAATACGTAGGGTGTCTCTTAAATGGGACACCCTGTATATTCCTATTTTCTTTTTCGTTTTACCCTTCTATCTTTCTTCTTCTTTTTAGTTTTAATCTTAATTATGCTTAAGTTCCATTTTATTATAATACGTTCTTCCTGTTATTTGAATGTATATTGGGCGAATTTACGCCCGTCACAATCAATTATTATTATTACAATATTATTATCACTAGTACATATTATTCCAATAAAATTCTGCCCAAATCTATTCTAAATCACCTCGATAAAAACACCAAGGGTAAGAGTGTTCTTTCGTCGCAAGAAAGATCCAAGTTCTTTCCTCCAAGATCACGCTGTCCTCAACGGCAGTAACTTTATACGAGGGGCTGCGTCTAAACGTCGACGAGAGGGGGGATAACTCTGTACGAAAATTGCGTGGCATCGACGACAATAAGAGGACGGGGCACGCGGGGGCGGGCGCGAAAAAATTCGAAAATCTGATCCGAACAGGCACCCCAGCAGTGAAGGGGGAGGGTGGGGGTTGGGTACGGTCGAGGTCGTCATTACCCGTCATTATCATGGCTCGGCCCCAACCACTGTAATCCGTATTTCATTTTCTGCCGGTTTTTTCTCCCCCGTCCCTCTCCCTGCTGCGACGAAGTGGTTACGGCCCTAGATTACAGGCGTTGCTCGACGACGACCCGATAGTTTCCGCGATAGAAGTTACTCCTCGGATATGCTCGGCGGTTTGCACCTCTTCCACCCCTTCCTTCGTCGTCGTAGACGGCCACTACGAGGCGAGTTTCATTAAAAGATACTAGGAAAGAAAAGATCCAGCTTTCGTGATAATACAGGCAAGAATGCAAAGGGGCCGACGTAATTTTGACGCGTTAACAACCGGTCGCCGTGAAATTACGCTTTATGTTCGTTTATCTTGGGCTAACATCAAAAGCTTGCGGTGAATAGAGCAGTTGACAATCGGAACTACCATGAGGCTTGAAATTATGCGTTCGATAGTTTTTTAACATTTCGTTACTTGTTCGTCAAATATCTTATTTAGTGAAGTGTTTCCTGACTTTTATTGAAATGTACAGGATGTCTCAAGTCGGCGGTAGTAGAACCGGGCAGGAGATGATTCTATAAGAAAAAGTAAGTCGGAGACGAAGCATAAATTTTGTTCATACGAGGCTTCATTTAAGAGAAAAACTACCTAGAAATTCTATCTAGTATACATTCGTGGTGACAATAAGTTGAAACGGAATGTAATGAACATACGCGTTAACCAAGTCCTATTCATTAATTGCACGGCGTTTTCAAATTTTATTTTTAATTGTGTATTATAGTATTATTTACTGGTAGTAAAAAGTAGGAATTGTTAAGCTACCGGGTGGTAGTGCTAAAAAAATGATAAGTGTATATATTATGTTTTTCCTTAACTATGCTCGATAAAGATTTATGCAAAAATTTTGTAGAGACTTCAGTTCTTAAAACAAAATATTTCTCTTGCAAAATAAAATCAGAACTTGAAGTTTCGAACTGTACTAAACGCACCGTGTCCTAGCAATTTCCCAAAGCAAAAAATATAAGAAGAATAAACAATTACTATTGATCAGAAAATTACAAAGAGAAAAGAGAAGCTTTCCCGCAGAAAACTGTCTAACAATTTCAACTATAAAATCACCCACCACAGTTTCCACGTTATTCCAGTATTACGTACGCTTCGATTCCTCGATTCTCAGCTGCGAAACAGTCGACGGGCGGCTAAATTTTCTGCAAAACGTGGAAAAAGTGGGAGGAGGACAGCGATCGAGAGATCGGCCTGGTGTGTCGGTTGGCGGCGCGAGGTGTCGGCCAGACACGGGGGGAGCACGACGTGCGAATGCGAACATAAATCCAAATTAGCGGCAACATAACGCAACCGTGCCTCTATCGGTTGCTACGATTCAAGAGAGGGTTCCATCTCGACGCTGTTCCCCGCCTGGCCGATCCGCGAATGACGGTAAATCGTAAGCCGGCGGATTATCGGCACGCTCGATCGGCCGAAGACGAGAACGCTCGCTCGTTTCGTCGAGGCCCCTGGGTTGCTCGCCGGTCGAGAAAACCGTTCCGATACCGCGGCCGCGATCTTCCCCGTGTTTCTTTGATTTCGCGAGATCCTTCCTGGTTCCACGCGTCGCCAGATATATTAGTATTTTTTTTTTTTCTTCCGCGGTGGGGTACTATCGTGGTATCGGAAAGGCGGCTTCGAACGAGAACGTGTGCTCTTTTCGAACGGAAGAGATGTTGCTGCACCCGTTGTGATAGACGATTCTACGGGTTTTCTGTCTTATTTTCTGGCGAGTTATTACCATACGAACGATCTTGACAGCTGTGTAACTGATATACTGGGGACATGCTCGCGATCTGATTTCAAAGAGCCCGCGATTGTTGCTACTGAAAGGGACAATTGGGAAGCTTGCTTTTCGGTTGAAGAGTTATCGTTCTGGTTAGCGTTCTTGTTAATGGTAGGGGTGAACCGATGTATAAATAGACGTAAATAGTCGATACTTTCGTACCGATACCAAGTATTTTTAGTATCGATATTTTTCATTGCGATGTATATAATGTAACTCGGTGTCGAGAATAAGTACTCATATCGAGTGGAGCGAATAATTGATACAAAAGCTAATGAACGCGAAGGTGGTTGTCGTCCAGTTATATATTACTGTGTTAATAAACGTTCGTCGATAATAGATGGTCATTAATAAAACCTATCTTCGTTACAATCAGAGATGGGCAAATTCATTATCTAGATAACGAGTTTCGAATGACGAATAAAAGATGAAAATATACTTCCTAGCGACTTTTCAGCAGTACGTTTAAGTAATTTAAAATGTAGTTTTCTGTCTGACATAATATACGCGTCACAGTCGGGGTATATGTATAAGAAATGAATACAAGAATAAAAAAAAAAAAAAACTTTGTGGTGAATTTCTTAAGAATTGCATTATGACACTCGGACCGAACACAAGCACACACACACAACAACTTTTGTCAATTAATCGCAACGAAGAAACATACGTTCAAACGAAGGGGATTATCGGAATTGAGTTACCACTCATCGTGTCGTTCACGCACCGAATACCAAGCTATTATTAACTGTAAACTACAGTAGATATATATATATGAACACACTTTGTTATAAGTTTACTCAATGAGCATATGTAATGTAATTAAAGTTTTATATCATCTTGTATTGCAGAAATGGATCTCAACAGAGATTTTAGATGTTAATAAAAAATCAAATAAAAAAAATATATATATATATATATGAACATGTGACTGTATGAACGTGTATACTGAGAGCAAAATGTTTGCGATTCAAAACGTGCCTTCAAAACCTGGCTACAAAAAAAGCCCCCTAAATCCCCCCTGGCTATTCGGTGAAAGACTCGACCGATTAAAGCCCAAGCGACCAACCAGAGCGTATGCCGGAGCCAATAATGGACACCGATCTGCAATGGAAGAAGCTGAGACCGTAACCGTCTCCGCTCTAGGGCACCAATCTCCCGAAAGGCGATTAACAGATGTGGCACGATTATCTTTCAATCCAAATATACTTATGCAGCTACGCCAGGCAAAGGCAAAACACGACCGATGTCTGAATTCTCCGGAGAAACCAGAGGGATCGGTAAACAGCCTTAGTATACCTACACGCCTTAGCACCGTATACTAAGTCCGTGTAAAGAACTCGCGAGCAAAGTGAATTAATAATAGCTTGTTCGCAGCCATTGGCTTGGTATTATCCGCGTTTTGCAAAACTTTATCGAATACCAATTGCCCAGGTCTCACCACGTGGAGGTTGCTGCGAATGGAGACCCGAGGAAGATAGACGGAATCACAAGTTCCACGTCTATCAACCTTTTACAATTTTTCTCGTTATAATCGACTTAAATCTTAGTACGCTCGCAACGAACACATACACACTAGCACACACATATATAATAACTTAAATTAATCGCAACGCAGAAACATACGTCCGAACGATGTTGGGGATTATCGGAATAGAGTCACCACTCATCATGTCGTTCACGCACCAAATACCAAGCTATTATTAAGTATAAACTACGGTAGATATATATGAACACACTTTGTTATAAGTTTACTCAATGAGCATATGTAATGTAATTAGAAATTTATATCATCTTGTATTGTAGAATTGGTTCTCTTCAGAGATGTTAAATGTTAATAAAAAGGCAAAACGCGACCGATGTCTGAATTCTCCGGAGAATCCAGAGGGATCGGTAAGCAGCGTTAGTATACGGATAAATTCCGTATACTAAGTCTGTGTATAGAATTCACGAGGAAAGTGAAATATTAATAGCTTGTAATGCCGATTGGCACGATTTATTGCCAGAAGGCTACTTTGAGTACAGATCGACCCCCACCCCCCACACACTAACACCGCCTACCAGTCGGTCAACCCATATGCAACGAGACGAGTTATTTTTTAAGTTCGCACGGGCCTCATGATGATTGTCACGTGAAGAAAAATATCCATATGATCTTCGCAATAACAAAAAACTTCTCATATTCTTCAAGCGGAGGCATATGTTCAGATGATCTTTACACAAAGAGATATCTTCAGATGTTGACCTTACACCTTGATTCGTGAAAAGGACAGTCAAAAGAATATGTTCACATATAGTAATTATAAAAGGGTATAATAACACGTTTTTATAGATATTTTATTTTGATAAATTAGAAATTTAATCCCACAACGATTCCTGAAACTAAACAAAGTACCACTGTTAATGTGTATGTCCATTTGAATGTCTCGAAGTATTGTAGTTTAAATTTTGTAACATTCAAGGAAGCCATTTTGAATGCTTCAATTAAATATATGAATTGAAAAAATTGCTCGAAAAACTTCTCATTTGATCTTGACACAAACCACGAAATCACGATTATTTCACTTACGGTTAAAAACAATGTAAAAATAAGTAATGAAGTGTCACTTTGTTGTTATAATAAATATCATAATAACTTACCAGAGTACACCAATTTCCCGCCGAATTCCGTTTGAAGGCAACCAGCGATGCTCAGAACGATAGTGCATACTTTCAAACCGAAACTCTGAAACGGAAAATAAACATAAACTTTAAGTAATTACACTATATTAACAATAGTTCCGTTATAAATTAACAATTATTGAACTCGTGGTGTGTCGCAAAGATTACAAATTGCATCAGAAATACGTAAATATTACATTAATTGGTACACAATGAAACCGAAGACTAAACCGATACCTAGGTATTGTATTGATTTGAGATTATTTAGTCTAAATAGGATAAATATTAAAGGACAGTAACGATAGAGAGCTAATGGAGGTACTAGTAATTAATATACATGAATAAAGATGAAAGGTAATTGTCAAACACTCACTTTGGCACGAGCAAACGGCTTCTACGTCGTATCACGTCAACGTCTCCTGTTCATTCGGCTATCTCCGGGGGTTCGCGAGTAGTTCATTGGTCAGAGCAGTAGATCCGCGACTAATACGACTTGGCGGGAACAAACATATGCACTAATCCACTTTAAAAGATGAATGTAATCACATAAAAAGCTCCTTGAAGACTCTATATACCTGATACGACCATAGGACTGCGGGCTGCGGGTAATTGGCACTCGTTAATTGATCAGTGTCTGAAAATTTGGTCCTCTACAGTCTACACCCTCGAAATGATCAATTATCGAGCGACTACTCAACTACTGTATTACAACACAGGCGAGATATAATATAGACACAGACGAGATATAGGAGTAGACATTTTATTCAATGAATTTGTTCGGCTCACTTTACTGGGGCGACGTCGCCCCATTTCCATTTTATTGTCACTACCGACCGCAGATTCATCGTTCTCATAACGTAGAGGTCGCTAAAATCACAGGCTTTTTAAAGAGTCGGTACTACAGGTTAGGTAGGCCACCAACTAACCGATGAATATTTGGCGCGGAATATTAGTATTGCTTAACAATTTTCATCTTAACAAATTGCTCCCAATTTGCTCCCTCGGAATCTAAAATTGCCCCCATCGCAATTATTATATATAATGAGATATTCACAAATGAAAAAGCAAAAATTTCTTGTCTGCAAAGTAGATAGTAAATGGTCTTTCTACACAAATATTATGGTACCAAAAAATTGCTCCTGATCTGTTTTGTAATATTCAATGGTCAGATATCTTAATAACAACTTATTAACAAGGAGCAATTGAAATAACGTTGTTGCATACAAGTTAGGTATGACGACATATAGTGGGCGCTCGTTTATTGCAGGCTATTTATTGTAACATAGGAACACGATTTGCACGATTATGACTGTCTGTAACATAGGGAGTGACACTCAAATGGTAAAAAACTTTTTTCTTAGTGGCCAAAAATCCTTCTCGCAGTCATCATTTTTGTAAAAAAACTTCTAATTAACGTGGTGCCAAAAAGTTATTAGGGCGCCATCTAGCATCAAAAGAATGATACTAAGTGGTTAGCAGCTTAGGCATTTTGTTATAAATGGCACCACGGGCATTTTGTACCACTATCATTAGGTTCTATCAGAGGTACATATTATCAAACTTAAATATTAAATAAAAATACCATGGCCAACAATTGTTAATACACAATGCAGTCTGATTCCAGTCGAAGAAATACTTGGTTTTAATTTGGGTAGGTTCCCTATATTATTCACAACGCATTTCAGGGTTCAAATGGATGCGCAGGTACTTTTACGTAACGTGTTAATAATGATGAATTTGTTAATGAATTGTACCATTACCAATGATTAACTAACCAATCACATGTATGTGTTTATTCTTTTAAGTAATTACCACTGCTGTTAATAATCAATCTGCTTGGATCAAATGGACTCTTTTTGAAAATTTAATAATTATTTTTGTTATATATAGTATTTAATTTCGTATAGAATCTTTTCCGTACTTTTTTAAGGGGAGTATGATCCCACAATTCATGCATTAGTAGTGGACAGAATATTGTCAGTGAAGATGAGTTAGTTCATATTCTACGTTTTTAGACGAGATATCAACTTTTGGAATCGTCGAATAAAATTTTCTGTTATATTCACTAAATATTCCTTCATTTATGACGATAACGCGAATGTTCATTATTTCCACTTTGATAGATTGTTTTTTGGAAACTAGGATTGAAGAAAAGGAGTCCGATTCAAAAGCTTGTTAAGCCAAAAATGTAGTAGAAACTTTTTTAATCTATGCTGAATATGTTTGCTTTCCTGTGTTTTACACAGTTGAATACGCCACAAATGTATAAAATATGCAGTCTAGAAGATGTCGATTTGTGATTGAGGGACGGATAAAAGGAAAGTTTGTAATTCAGCGTTATAAACTATCTACTTTCTCTGGTTAGAATGACCTTGCATTTATAATACATTACTTGACCATTCATAAGTAGAAATATCCTAGTAGGTATTCCAGATTGTCTTGTATTTTTTCGCTTTTGTTTATCATATTTTGTAAAACGTTACCGCCACATACCTTAACAAAACACATGATAAATGGAATGTAGTAAAGTAAACAAAAAATGCCGCTTTAAGATGGTAATAATATCGTTTAATATAATATTTTTTTTCCCATTGATTTTAACAGTAAAACTACCGACGATGAACTCATATTTGTTTCAATCGGTGGATAGACGTGAAAAACTTTTGAAAATTTAGAAATTTAGAAATGGACTAATTTCTTCACGTTTATATCGTAATAAAAGGTGCAAAAAATCTGAGAAAATGTATTGTCATAACATTTTAATCGTCGTTGTAAGACTGTATTGACAAGTCATTTTGACTTGCTTGGTAGTACGAATGTTAATGTTATTTCATGTTTATTAAGGAAATTTTATTATACGTTTGCCTCCAACAAGTATTCTTCTATTTCGAACGAAATGATCAATTCCCTCGGATATATGCTACCTATCGTAGCGAATTGGTATGAAGTAAAAGTAACAGTTACCTTGCATTATCTTCTGCGAGTGTAGCTTTCAGTTCGAACATAAACGCCCTTGTCTGTTACGCCCGCAAAAAAAAAGTTACACGATAGTTACAGACTGTTAGATAATAATACGAATGCAATTACACATGTGTTTTACACAGAACCGGCGTATTAATTCAACCCGTGCAATTATGTACTTTTCATTTGGAGTTTACGAACGTTGTCGAAAATGGATATTACCCGTTCGAAATGTACCTGCAATTATGTTGGTAATTAGTGTTTTACTAGGTTTCATTTGATCTTCCGTAAAATACGTTAACACGATTTGTTGTTCGATACAATAATTCTACAATTTTATTAGATGCATCATTGATTACATAATTTATTCATTTTATCGACAAATGTTTTCTGTGAGTTTAAATATTCGTCGCTGTTCTCCAATATTGACGCCATTTTTACCAAGTACCATGGCGAGAAGACATATTAGGTTTAAACTACATTACTATTTTATTAAGAAAATTCGTGGATTACTCGTTATTAGGCCTGATAATTGTATTCTGGATTAACACTTTTTTAATTTTAGGCATTAATTCCGATCGATAGAAGAACGGTCGACATATAATAGGTACACTTCGAAGGAGGCCGCAAAGATTACGTCATCGAGGAAGAATCCATCCCACATACTTTCTGTTCCGTACGAAATACGTAACAACAATATCGAGTTCAATAACAATTCCTAAACTCAACATCCAGCAGGTAGGTCACGAATACATAAATCTTAATTCCTAAATACATCTTGAATAAATATTTTTGTAATTTACGCGACTAATTCCGATCGAACGGTCGACGTGCACACTTCGAAGGTGGCCTACTAGGGTTATGTCATCGGGGTAGAATCCTGATAAAAAAAAAGTCCCTCAGTTTCCGGTGCGCGCGCTCGAAATTATTTAGATCATATAACAGGAGATTGAAAGCGAGTGTGCCGCCCCGGCGTGTACACGTACACGCCTTCTATACAGTCTGCTTTTCTTCTGACCGATTACCTTTCCCACGGCGGCTTATAGGAGCATAACCGCGTTTATATTACAGTCTGCCGTGCCGCACTTAGTCACACGAGCGTGCACATACACGGCCAAACTTAACATACGGCTCGCTATGAGAAATTCTCATTGCGAGGGCGATTGTCTGTTGCAATCGTAAAACGTCGGCACTGATCCAGTTTGAAAATCAAACGCATAGAATCTCCGTGCGCTAGAGAGCGAACGAGTGCGCGCGCGCGAGCGCAGCCGTGATTAAATCGCCGGTTAATACGGCTTTTATCACGGATACAGAACCGGAGAGGAAGGCATTTTGTCTGTAGACGTTCAACGAGTTTCCCGCGATTTCTATAAAATACGTATACGATTCAAGGTGTTACAGTATCGTTAAATGTTCGAACGATTATAACAGGTCGTTCGTTGGTGTTTTATGGTTGTGCGCGCACACACACATTCACGAACCGATATGTATTGTGTGGGAACGAAAATAGACACAAGTTCACCGTGAGATAACGTTTCCACGTGTGTGTATGAATGTATAAGATTGCACTTGACTTTGATCAGAATGATCGTTAACGGATCGTCGTTCTTTTCACGCGAATCTAAAACTTTGATCGTGGTCGACGAACTTGTACGTCCTGACGAATGTTTGGAACTGAATAGTTTGCAGACTGTAAAATAAATATTACGCTGTAACATTCATTTCAGGTTATTCAACAATACTCTGGATTCTCGAAAGAACTAATGTTCCTTGTCATAAAGTCTTGAACAAAAAAACGTGAATTTTATGATCGTGGAAAAGTTCCGAAGTGAACGTTGATATAAAGAGAAATTGTGAACGTTCCTTCGCTGCGAGGACCAATTAATTATAAACAATTATGTATATATATATTGAAATCATTAAAAAGTTATTGCATAATTACATAAAATTATAATCTAATGATTCAGTTACTTTTCACAAGAATACATAACCTTTTGGATCTATAAATCGTTCCAGTCTCAAGGATTCATTTAAAATGACTGAACTTCTTTTGAATGGTTCGACACGAGTTCAAATTAAACGTGCACTTTCGTCATTCTGATTGCATATGATTGTGTTTATTGGATTTCTGATACACGATAAGATTACAGTTACATCAGTGGTCTCTATTTCTCCCTGTTCCATCTTTGTTTAACCGTATCTCCAAACGGTGGTCCAACTCTTAGTGACCCGGTAGTTTCCTCTCGAATTTCTTATAATACATTCACCGTGCCGCGTTCACCTAAGCGGACAGAGTGTCGTGCTTTCCTTTCGATCGACTTCACTGCTCCGTACATATGTATCTTGGTGGTATTAGTTACATGTTTGTATTACTTTTAACGACGACTTCTCAAAAACAATTTGGTAGAATCAATCCTCTTAATTACGTGTTTACGGTATTTTTCGTGACAACTTCTCAAAAACAGTTTTGTAGAATCAATCCTATTAATAACATGTTTACGGTATTTTTCACGACTTCTCAAAAATAGTTTTGTAGTATCAATCCTATTAATTAGATGTTTACGGTATCTTTAGCAACGACTTTTCAAAAATGGTTTCGTAGAATCAGTCCCATTAGTTATATATTTACGGCATTTTTACAGACGATTTTTCAGAAATAGTTTTCTAGAATCGATTCTTTGTACGATAGAATTTATTCATGTTAGCACCCACAAATTGTAAGTCTACATCCTATAATAAAAATCATACACATACCACATAAATACTACTGTTCCATGCCATAACTTCAACAAACATGTCAGAAAATATATTCATCAAACATCCTAAAATAAGTGAATAATTCATTTCTTTTGATTTTAAAATTTTTTCTGTTACTGCGATTATTATGCAAGTCCTGTAAAATTTGTAGTAAATCCGAAGAAGGGATGAGCGTACGTGTGACAACGTATCGAAAATGTAAAATACAATTTTTTCGTATATAGCTTCGTTTTTGAGAAAATCGACTTGTAATATGCATATATCCTCCTTACAGTGAGTAGAAATGGTCATTTATGAACAGACACGACAACCAAATCCTACTCAATTGCACGTTTATTTATTCGTTTGAACTTCAAACTTCATTTTCTCGCAAATAAAACTCCGTTCGATCAAACTTTATACAACATTTTCGATTTGTTTTTATATCTACAATCATTTTATTAAGATTGGTCGTGCCCAGCATATTTTATTCAGTTCACGATTGTCCCAAAGAAAATTGCGCAACACGCTCGAGAAACGTGATTTCATTCACATAAAATCACTCTATGTCTATTATCTGCCAGTAAACAGACGTAAGAAATAACGTTTATCGGTAACTAAAATCAGTCCGTTCGTATCCGCGACGGGTCCGTTTCGTGTCAGTTCTTTACATCCTATATTTTGAGCAGCAACATTACTCAACGTACCTTGAATAACCATTGCATCCTTATTAAAAGACTGTGAATTTGATTTATTTATATTGTAATTGAATTAGTAAGACACGAGTAAGAAGAACTATAAATGAAATGATAAATAATAATGTATAATAATGTTTAATAAGTTACCTTCTGAGTAAATAATATGTTAAAAGTAACGTATAATAATATGTAATAAGTTTATCTCATTATACTTACCTTCAAAAAATCATTAACAAAAGAAATAAATTCCTATCTAGGTTTAGTCACGAGTAATTTCACGAAAAATTTGAACAATGGAATATTAAATAAATTTAAGCTGTCTATCGTCCGACGTAGGATTGTTTCGTTCGGTTGAAAAATAGCAAAATGGTGATACTTTAAAGCAAGAAGGTAATTTCTTTGCAAGAAAATGAACTAGTGTTTATGGATAAGACAGATAAAAAATAAAATATCGAAAAAATCCTACCTCGAACGATAAACAACTTGCATTCTTTTAATATTTTATTGTTCAATTTTCTTTCAGAAATCTGCTCTTCAGAAATTATACAGTAAAGAGTCAAAAATACTGGTTCGTAAACTCCCATAAAAATGATTAAATTAACCTAACATTGTATTTTCTGAGATTCTTCGCAACGTTTTATTGAAATATACAGAATATTTCCAAAATCGTGATATAACCAGAAAGGATGTCATTGTAGATGCAAAAAGAAGACGAAAATATAGAGAAATATTTTTTTGTAGAATGCTTCGTTCCCAAGATAATTAATTTTTAAAATTCATGTAACGCGAACGCATTGATAGTGACAATAAGTAGAAACAGAATTCAACGAACAGACGCGTTAGCCAAGTGCTATTCAATTGCACGCCTATCCAGCAATTTTCAAATTCGATTTTCTCGAAAACGAAGCATTGTACTTTAAATTTAATTTTTTTACATTTTCGACTTATTTTTGCATATAAGATCACATCCTTTCGGGTTGTACCACCATTTGAAAAACACATTTGCATATTTTCAACAAACCGTCCCTTTTACCGACGTGATACAAATAGAAACACTTTCATCCTTGGCAGTTCTTGTGTTAAAGAAAAATTGAAAACAATTTTTATATACTACTCACATGTACCTGCCTTTATTTAATAAATTTCGATAAAAAAACTGGTTTTAGTCACTCATAGAGAAATTCTCAAAATTGCGGTACTTTTTTCGAACGAATCCAAGATTGATTTAACCTTTTAACATTAAAACTACCAGAATAGACAAAATACCCAACAGTTTGTTTTCTGAGATTCTCCGCAACATTTGATTTCAATATACAAGTGACAGACCAACGCGATAGAAATAGAAACACGTTTACTTTCGGTAATTTTAGTGTCAAAGAAAAAATTTTTTAAAAATTTCTATATTTAATTCATGTCTCAGTCTCTATTGAAAGAATTTCGATCAAAAAAAGTGTTTTTAGTCTCTCACAGATAAATTCCCGAAATTGCAGTATTTTTTTGAATACATCAAAGATGGATTTAACCCTTTAACAGGGAGACGCAAAATCGAGTAACATTAATGTCTTTGTTTTCTGCATTTCGTGGTGCCGGGCGATGCTCACTTGGAACACGGTCCCCGTTGTGGAAAAGTGGTTAACAACCCCACCTGGCCCCGTGGTCGGGCGCGGCCTTTCCCCTTCGTCTATAAAGCCACCAGGAGTCCACTTCTTCCGAACATTCACTCGTCGCTTCGTCACTCATTTGTTCACCATGCGGCTGCTTATATTCGCAGGTGAGTGCACTGTGCATCCATCACACACAAACACACAAACACACACACCTTTTTCATAGGATCAAGGACGAATCAAATTTTCCTGATTTTTTTTTTTTGTGTGTTCGAGTCGGCTTTGTGAACGTTGTTTTTCCTGTGCGATATGTAAACTCTCAAGATAGAAATCTAGATAAATAAAGCGGGCATACCAAAGAGGGGGTGAAAGAGGAATAGAAAAAAGAAACAATTAAGTGTTATAAGTGGGCAAAAAGTGATACAATTTAAATGATAGTCAAACTGATCAAAGAGAAATGTTAGTATTAATTATTAATTATATAAGAGTTATAGTTAAGATAAGATTGAAGTGTAGGTCGGAAGTCATCCGAGCCCCGAAAGGCAAGAATTAGAAATAAATAAAATAAATGTAAACTCTCGAGATATACCGGCCGGTAAAATCGAAACCGATCGTGTCTCCATGTGCGTGCGACCTCGCCGTTTGTGTGTGATCGGCGGTTCGGTAAATCGGAGGACAAACGATCGAAAGTATTGCTCTCTCGTCGACGACAGTGATCGATAGAACACACGAAAGAAAAAAAAAAGGAAACTATTCGTTCGAGAAAACGTTCGATGTTGCACATTTGATGATTGTCGAGAATTATTGTTCGAACAGAACGTGCGGATTTCATCGAAATCGGGAGTGATGATTGTTGCTGGAGTAATCGAGTACCTACATGAATCAACTGTTGCAACATCGATGAAATTAATTCATAACAAACTGTTCGTTATGGAATTTCGATTACTTCGATTGAATGTTTCATTCTTCAATAAATTCTCTTAATTTATTCGTTAATTCTTGGTAGTAGAGTGGTATGAAAACTGTTCCATTTTTTTTAGTGCTTGAATTTGCATGATGGAACACATTAGTCGTACCACAGTTAAATCGTGAAACTACTAAAAATAAAAAATAATATAATAAAATTATTTTGTTAGTTTTTATAAAAAATAAAGTGTCTGTGCAACAAAGCAATTTTTTGTTGTAAAATTCTGTGCGTTGAAGATTCGTTTGAGAAAATGAGTGACATTCGTCACATTTACTATGATTGCTAGAGTTATCTGGTGTATAAATCAACTGTTGCAACGTCGATGCAATTAATTAATAATAAACTGATCGTTATGGAATCCTTTTGGTTTATTTTACAATATTTTGTAAATTCTGTATTTCGTAGGAGTATTATTGATCACGGATTTTAGATCACTTTCGAAAGATAACCGTGTAAAGAGAAATTACTTTTGAATTTGAACAAGTCATTTCCGTTTAACTATGTTCTTAATGTTCATTGGAATGATTAGAATATCATGTTTAGACCGCAGAAAAGATTCTTCATCGGAAGGAACTTTCATCAGATGCAAGGAATTCTCTATTTTATTTTCAAGCCTAATCAACATACTTAACACTTCATCTGCGAGCGTTTTACATTTATATACATATACAGAAATATATCACTGAATATTAATTAAACACCACTAGCGATTGTATATCGGGAACAATACAAAATAATTCGTATTTCTTGAGAGATTATCATCCTCGAAATCATGGAACATTCTGTTACCCGCAGACAAAGTGTTAAAAGACAGAAGGAATTTCTACATTTGCCCTTGTTTTTATAAATAACATTATGAAATAACATTTTGCGATGTTAAATTAATATATTCAGTTGAAAGGAAAGACTATAGCTCCGTTGTTATTTTGTGGAAATTATTTACTTCGAGTAACTGAGATCTTGGCCATTGTTCTTCTTTAAGGGTACTCGTAATTAGTCGTAGATGCGAATAATACGTATAAAGCTTCTGTTTTCCACGAGAAAATTGCCACGTGTTATATCGGTGTGGACTACTCCTTAAAATTAAGAGCATGCAGAGCCGCGACTTTCCTCGATTCGCCAGATAAACTGGTGCGTACGGGCATTGCATTCGTATTAGAAACTTGCTTCCTGGAGCAACTCGGTTCACTTTCGCGTTTCGGTTTATACAAATATGCAGGCCGTTACTTTCATTGCGGTATAGGCGGGAATTCATTTTTTTTTCCATTCGCAGGACGCACTTTAATGAAGGGGGAGATATATCACGAAATTCCATGGAATCTGGCGATACGGAATTACATTGCAAAAAAATTTAGTGTTTCTTCTTTGATGCACTGAAAAGAGTTCGCTGTTTTGTCAGTTTCACATACCTGCGTGAACGTAACGAGCAACGAAAATGTTGAAACGATACGGTTCTAACATGTGTAGATTGTTTAGATTAATTGTCTGTTTAAAAATATTTTTAACGATATGGGAATTGTATAAATCAAGATATATCGCGGCACTGATTTCATGCTTCCTCTTGAATATCGTGGACTCGAATGAAGTTCTTCTATTCAATACCGTATGTAGAAGGTTCGTTTTTTAGTTTTGGATGGAATTGTGTTACCTACGTGTGAGTGATGTGACAGTCAAACTGTTAATTCCTTTTTGGATTTATATGGTTCAGGAAAGAATCAAAAAGTATTCCAAAAGGTAATAGACCTTGTATTGATAAATAATGTATAATTCAAATATATCTTTGGTAGAAATAATTTAAATTTATTATAATCTACTTTTGCTAGAATTCAGGATTTGCTTCAAAAAAACTCAGAAGTGATTTCGTTATTCCCCTGGAATATAGTATGGATTGTCATCCAGAAAAAAGAAGGCAAAATATATAGAATTTAAATTATATCGCCAGAATTTATGTTTTTATTCCTTTTGTATGATATTTTTGAATTGTTCTTAAACGTTAAATTCAATACTAAGATAAATACAAATAAAGATAATTATGTTGCAATTGTATAGTGTGATTTTTGAAATATTACTGAATGATTATTCGACTTGACTATATGAAACTATAACCATTTGTAACCTTGACTTTTGTTGCCCCCAAAGTTTTACTGGATTTTCTATTATAATTGCAAATAGCACTGCATTATTTGTAATAATTGTACATCGTGATTACCAATATTCTATCAAGATTGTGTAAACTTTCTCTGGCTATCGCAACGTAATAATTACACCCCGACGTCAGTGAAATCCGTTGTGGGAATAATTTGGCAAAGAAGACAGTGGTATTGTTGTGTGTGCGAAGCTAATTAATGAGTTTCAACACGTGTGAACAGTTCTGCATAAAACCTTCAAACATATACTTAACATGGATCGAGTGAACTTTACTATTTCGACAACATTCATTCTAACGCAAAATTAAATTTATATAATGTTTGCAAAAAATTTAGAAGCACATTCGATGTTAATCTCCTGAGGGATATTGGCACGTATGTGTACGTTTAGCCTTTCTTTCATTCAAGCATCATTCCGAAACTGTAATTAAACATTCATCAGGAAACTCCTCAACAAAGAAGGATATTCTACCAATTGATTATCGTCAATATTTACAAATGTATTTTAATTAAATACAATCGAAGAATAAATAGAAATATTCTTCTGGTCTCATAAATTCGTCCCTGAAGACGTTAATAAAATATAAATAAAATTCCAAGATTAATGACGAATAATTTGAAATATTATTTCGTATTATTTTACATGACTTTTATTGAGAATCTACGCGCAGAAATACGTGAACGGGAACCTCTGCAATTAAAAACCATTTAACCTCGAATTTTTACGGTGCATGGGCTCCACAAAACCACCGTATAATTCCAATTATTAGACATGAAGATTCGTTCCAAATGAAACGCAAAACGTTTCGCAATAACAAATAATTTCTCTTTGCAGAAGGAGGAATTACGTCGCAGATAAATAAATGTTTCTTTCTGAAGACGTCAATATACTTATAGTACAAAATAACTGGTTAATATACTACGTACTATTTATCATTTTAAAATTTGATGGGACTTCTTTAACTTTGTGCTACTATTTCCATTTTGCTTTCCACTTTGAAAATTACAGAAGCTATACGCGTGGGTATCTCATGAATCAATTAGATTTCAGGGAAACTCTAGGTACAATATTCGTGTCTGATTATTTTGAACAAAATCCAATTATATTAGTTTCCCCGTTAATACTTGATTTGTCCGCATTAACCGTGTCGTACCGATTTCACGGTACGAAAATAACAATCCCACAGTGCGGAATGATGGTGAAGAAATGGACATTGACATTTCACTTTTTTTTCGCGATCGAATCGATGAAGACAGCCGTCGTGTTTTCCCGAATAATCTCGTTATCAAAATTATTCGGTGGAAATAATTACAAACTGTCATTCCCGGCGTATTTCTCGCGTGATTCCCGCAAGGAAATGTGTGATTTATCAACGCAATTAGATAACGAAGGTCGAGGTAATTGATTCTTGATATTTCCGTAGAACGTGTAATTATTGTGCCTTGATCGTTATTACTGAAAACTAAAAATTGTACTGTTACTTCATTGATCTTGCCCTTGTACACCTGTACAATTATAATATTTTTATATTCATTTGATACTATGCGAACAGAATACCTAATATTTCTTTAAAATAGGAGATTCTCATGAGGGTTCGAAAAACATAGAATATCATTAAATACACAATTTTCTTAATAAAACAGTAATATAGTATAAATTTGAAGATTTTTCTGCTCTAGTGTTTCATAAATCAATGTAAAATTACTGACTAGGGAAGGACCCCAACTGTCCGACTTCGATTTTAACGGACTTTTGTAACATGATAGTATACAGGTTCTGAATGATATGTGTGAAATATTAGGTATATACACTAATTTTAAAGATACTAACAATTAAAGTTATGTAACTTTAATATGTAATGACTACAAATCAAATTCATCGAATTATAAGGTTGTTTGGCTGGTAAATCGGAGGTCCTTCGATCGATTCCCGTTCACCGTAATATTTTTTATTTTACTGTGCCAGCGTAACTTCGACAAACTTAACTTATATTCATAGTATATCTTGAAGGTCCGTAACTTCAAGTGTTTATATCATTAAAATTATCGAGTG